TGAGCAAAGCTTGCCATTTGAGAGAATAGACAAATTTTAAATGAACACATAAATTATAAAATGTAATAAATCATAAATATGAGTTTTACAATGTAATAAATCAATGTAATAAAATGTAATAAATCACAAATATGGTATGAGTTTTATAATGGATTTTTACAGTGCCATTGCTTTTCGTAGAGAATGAATACGGAGCAGAACTTTCAGATCTGCTCAGTGCTAAAAACACGCGACGTATGCAGTAATCCTCGTGGTGTGACGCTTTTTTAAACACTCACAAAAAAGTCTTGATGTGCATGTTAATTTCTTTTCTCTCGCATAAACCTTAAAATTACTGGAAACGACATTAAATATAGCTTACATAGGCTTTTCTTTTGTCAGCAAAATGATTTTCCACCGATGAACTGGCCACCGCCGATACTGATGCGAATTCAGCTGTATCTAAAAGACTTTTTGATAGATCAAACAGATCCACAGTGGAAATTTTTTTTTAAATTTAACAAAACTGTCAAGAGGAAGAAATCCAAGATAGTTTCTGTTATTTTTTGAAAAATACTTTCAGACCAAAATGTGGAAAATGAAGATAGTTGCATTAGAAGACCGAAGTTGTTTCAATTATACAAAAATTTTCTTTCTGCTTTTATCCTGCTGACAAAAAGCTGTACCTTGATAAGTAGTGCCGGCCTGATTGATGACATCACTGATTGCTGGATTACATTCCAGTATGTACTTCATTTCTGTTGCATCTGCGGTTGGAGCCGTTTTGCGCTTCTTCCAGCGTCTGCTTGCATATGTACAATACTGAAAACAAAAACTCCGCAGTGCGAATGAGTGGTAAAAGGAACAGTGGGATCTACTAATTTTGCTCCTCAAGTAAATTCTTAAACCCTATGACCTTGAGAGGCCTCAAAACCCCATGTCAACAGGAAATGCTGAACTTCAAAAGTGAAAAAAAAAATTCCAAGACACATCAGATTTTGTCGGGAATGTACACTTGGCGATATTAGCCCGCATCCTTTCATCGATATGCAGAGAAAATCTTCTAAAACTAGCTTAGATTACTGCAACAGAAAAGCAGCGAGGAACCAACGACTCAGCAATTTTTTGTCTTTTTCTTAGATCGATCAACTACTCACAAATACTTCGTGACGCTAAAGTATATCAGGAAAATCCCAGTAAGACTGAGGCATTCACGATACATGCACCAAAATCAAGCGACAAGCTCAACAGTGGACAGAGTAAGAGAGCAACTGCTCATATTCTCAGGATCAAGATGTCTGACGAAGTAAAGTCAAATGGATTAATTTTATCCGCTCCGATCGAGAGAGAGAAAGAATTATTCCCAGACCACCATCTTCCGCCCCCTCCTCCTCAAATCCATCGAATACTACATTCTGTAAAAGCTAAAAGCCCCCGGTGCGGAAAAATGATCAGAAATGCGAAAGGAGATATCTACCTGTGAAGAATTGGTTGGCGGATATCTCCTGGATATCTCGTAGCTGGCATGATGCGATGGATGCTGTGCAATGCCGGTCTGTGGATCGAGCACCGGGTAGCGTCCTTTGCGCTCCGTTTCAACACGACTGTTCCATTTGGAACAGTTTTTCATCATTTCTATATACAGTGACTCCGGTATCATTCTCCCCTAAAAATGAGACATTCCCGGAATCAAATAAGCAAATAACAGTAATAACAACAACAGCAGTAGCAATAATAATAACAGAACAATAATAATAATGATAACGATAATAATAATGACAATAATAAGAATAATAGTAATGGTGATAATAACAACAATAGTAATAATAATAACAATAGTAATAAAAATTGGCCAACGCACGGGCTGCCCGTGCGAAGATGAGTTTTTTGCAGAGTTCCCCGCAGTTTT